TGGGGTGCTGTGTGTACATTAATGAGGAAAAAAAAATTAACTTAAATGATTTTAGCAAATGGCTGCAATATAACAAAGAGTGAAAAATTTAAGCGGGTCTGAATACTTTCCGTACCCACTGTATATATAAAATTTTATTTTATATTTTTATATTACATTATTACATTGAGCATAACTTTGGTGTTTCCGATGTAATTTTTAACAAAAATATTAAATATTTTTTCAGAAGTCTAAACAAGTAACAATTAAAGTATTTAAATGTAGTCAGGTCAAAATACTAATGTGTGTGTGTGTGTGTGTGTGTATATATATATATATATATACAGTATATATGTGTGTGTATATATATATAAAATTTGATTATATATAAGTTTGCACTAAAAATCAGAAGTATAAAAATTTTAATTCTTAGAAAAAAAGTTTTGCATTCAATTTTGAAGCTGCAATGGTTTATAAATGTACTTTTATATGTTAAATATAAATGAAGCCTCAATATATGCCTTAATATGTTTTTGTTTATATTTTATTATAACTGTAATATCATTATATATGCAGGATTTAACCTAAAATTTACATAAATTTAATCTGAAATAAATCCATAAATCTTTTTTTTTTTTTTCTTTCTATGAAAATCAAATATCGAAATAAACCAGCTAGTCTGTTACTAGAGAAACATGGCATTAAAAAGAAAAACTAAATTAGGCTGTTTTATTAAAGAAAATGCATTCAGTGCCATTTGCTTTAATTCAACCAAATAACAGTCAAACTAACAAATAACTGTAAGACAGAAATATATATTCCTGACATACATAAAACTATTCTCAAAATCCCAAACGTCAATCCGGAAGAGCAGGAGGCCAGTCGATGTCAACAGACTGAAACACACAGACAGAAAGATAAAATCTTTGAGATGACACCAAGAGCTACTAAACTCATCATGCATCAAAAGCAGCTCTTGATATTACATATTAAAAAAAACGCACCTCGACGTCCAGCTCTAGGATATCAGCGTCAGTTTTCATGAGGTCGCAGAGGTTGGGTTTCGTGCGGCCGAAGTCTCCGTGCACAAACTCTTTAATGTAACTGCAGCGTTTTGCAAGTGAAGGGAAGCCAATGCAACAATTTCCACAAAAATATGAAGCAGCACTACTGTTTTCAACATTTATAATAATCAAAATCAGCATATTAGAATGATTTCTGAAGGATCATGTGACACTGAAGACTGGAGTAATGATGCTGAAAATTCAGCTCTGCATCACAGGAATCAATTACATTTTAACACATTCACATAGAAAAGAGTTATTTTGTATTTTGTAAGGATACGTGCCGGCCTGTGTGCACAGCTTTATGGTGAAGTGGTGTTTGTTCAGGTAAATGGTGCTCATGGAGTGGATGAGTCTGTCGGACCGCCAGCGGCCGGCGATGCAGGACTCTCAGTGGAGTCTTCTGAGCGATCCTCAGATCCTAAACACACACAGTCATCAGCACGTCTCTTCTCATGCGTCCAGCTCAAACAGGTCAAAAAGCTCGGCAAGACCTTGATATTTGCTAGGAATTCCAGATCAGTGATGTCGATGGCCTTCTGCGTCCAGATGAGGGCGCTGTAGGTTTTCGTCTTCTTCTCTTCACCCTCTTTCATGTGGCTGGTTGCTTCTCTGGAGAAATAAACACACACCTTAAAAATGCATTTTTTTTTACATAGATCTTTGACAATCAATGGATATCTGTGCTTATATGCAACACACACACACACACCTGGTAACGATCTGTAGGTCTCGTACTCTAATTTTATCAGACGACTGGTTGATTTTCTGTGGGACAGAAGACAACAGGAGCCAAAATTCACATGAGCAGGTTTGTGGTTTCAATATAATATTTCTGTGAGCACGTGACTGACAATTAAACAAATAGTTCACCCAAAAATAAAATTTGCTAAAACTTATCTCACCCTCAGGCCATCATTAATGCATTTTAAATTAAAGGGGTCATCGGATGCCTATTTTTCACAAGTTGATATGATTCGTACTGAAACGTCTATCACATACTTTGGTTAAAATGTCTCAATGGTAGTGTAAAACAACACCCTTTTTACCCTGTCAAAATCATTTGTGTTCACGCCAAGCCGTTTCTGTGCATGTCTCTTTAAATGCTAATGAACTCTGCTGACCCCGCCCCTCTCTTCCATGGGGTGACCACAATGAGCCGTTCTCTGAGAGACTGTAAACTTTAGCCGCGGAACTTGCTAACTAACACATTAGCAAAGGCGATTTGCAAAGATTCATAAAAAAACCT